GTCCCTATTGTTCTGAGCATTGGTCAATCCAATGAGTGCTGTCAAACAAATCTTTTTTATCCTGGCAAATAAAAATAACGGTTGTAGTCAACCATAATCACTAATCAGGAGTTAACACTCCTTGGCCTTGTCAAGACTTTGTACAACTTTTTGACCACTTATAAAAAGATTTAAGTGAATGTATGTATTTGAGACCCTATGTATAATTGTGACCCTGTGTGGATTAGAGAAAAGTCAATTCAAACTTCTGACCACAGCTGAATGTCCTTTTAGTTTCTCCAATGTAGAATATAGTTACTATTTGTGTCCCTGCTGGCATCATGGATCAGAATTTCTATATAAAATTTGTACTGTTCCCTTTTTAAAGCTCTACTAATTCTAGTTTGTCACAGATTTTCAGCTCATTTTGACTCCAATCACTCTCCACTTCCTGTTTTTCTAAAAACAGGAGATGGAGAATGTATGGCAGGGATGATGCTCAGTGTTGTGCTGCTTATACTAGAATTAAAATTGCTTTTACTGAAACTGTTGGGTTGAAGATGGCAAAACCCAAAATTAGCACGGCATTCATGTCATTGATAAGTAAATGTAAACTTCTAACCACAACTGTAGCTATCAAATACGAGAGGCAGGGACCGGTGAAGCTACGTGGAAAAAAAATGCATGGATTGATCAGTTTACTATTACTAAAAACTGCTGGTATTAAATGAGTTAAACAACTAAAAGTTGAAAAGTGAATCTTTCAGCTCTGCAAGTAAAAATACTCTGCAAATACTCTGCAAGTAAAAATACAAAAAAATGGTAAAAGAGAGAAAAATCATAGGTCATCTTAAATCTACACCAACTGAGGTCATAGCAACAAAAAATCTGTTTGCAAAAGTGTTACACCGTGTATTCCTGAGCATGTCCTTTTTCAATACTACGGTGAGAGAGAATGGGTTTGTAACTCTTACAAATGACATCTTGATGACATTTTTACTCACTTTGGCAAGGACTGCCTAAAGCTAGTGCGTGAGTAAAATGGCAGATTACAGGAACCGAGATTCAGTCGCAGATTGCAGAAAAATTACGAGTCTAAATCTATAAATGAAATCCTCTGTTAAGGGTCTCCAAGCTTCAAAAATCATCACCTGCTAAACGAACAGGTGAGACAGTTTTGTTTTTACCATTAATGTACTCAAATCAAAGGAAAAGCAGATCCAATAAAGACTTTGAGATAAGTAAACTCTTCAAAATGTATCTGAATTTAAAGTACGAGATCAGGAAGTAAAGGAAGTTTGATCTACTTTTGATCTAATAATCAGACGTTGTGTGTCACAAACATCAACACACTATGTAGACAAATATGGCAAAAACACGGGCGTACCATAAGTTCCCCAGTTTCACCCAGTATGTCTACTTTGCATAAGGAGGAAGTGAAAGAAGGGGTCCATTATCCTGTCCTGAAATACCACGGAGCCATATTAACATATCAGGACACAGTTTGCTAATTACATTAACTCATGGTCATTGATTAGTGGTCATGACAACTGTATACAGTCATAAAACTGAACTCACAGCCCATTGTTAGTCAGTGCATGCACTGTTCAGAAGGGTGGGAAAACCTGGAGTCTAAGACTGAAGAAGTCACTCGGATGAGTGGTGAAAAGTTTCTCCCACTGAAAATGCAATGTCCAGATGAACAGAATCAACTTTCTGTGACTTCAGAAGCATAATCCACTATTAGGATGTTAAAAAGTATAAAAGTTCCCATTCACTAAGAGTGCGAACACAGTGTCTTTTCAGTAATTCTATTTTTTAAAAAGGCATGTTTTTAATCTATCTTTCAGTAAGGAAAGATTAGTATGCATTGTTTTCATATTTTCTAAAAATGAAATAAAGAATCATTTACAGTGGTGTGAAAAGTCTTGAGCCATCCTTCCTTTCTTTATATTTTAGAAAAATGAAAAAAAGAAGGTTTTTTGGAGGACAGATTTATTGAAATGTGCAAACATACATGGAAATGCAGGATACATTTCAAAATTTTCGACTAAAAATCAATGTTTGCTATAAACACCTTTATTCTTAGGCAAAAAGCAGAACAAATTACGATGTTTTTGTGTCAGCCTTTTTAAGTATGATATTAAAAATTGTTTATTTGCTAAGTTGTTGTAGATGCAACATTGATATATTATTTTTAAGCTTTAATCATTCGTGTCAGTGTTAAGTGC